CAATTAAAAATTTAAGATTACAAAAAATTCAATTTAATTACTAATCATTTAAAATTTAGGGTTGTTATATTAGCAATATTATGTTTAGCCGAGAGAATATTTATCATATTTTATTGAGTTCATATACTCATGAACAATCTTGTAGTCATTTATAAGATGCTTTTAATCTTCGGTGAAGCCAAAACATTTTCTTTAGTAATAATTTTGACTGCATCAAATATTTGTTGAGCACATTCATATGTATTCAAAGTAACTTTTAGGGTACCAGATAATTGACAATCCTAAAATTATTGCTCCCATCAAGTGGTTCTCATAGTGTTTTGTTATGCCTTGAATCAAATATTAAAATATCACCTCATTTGATTGGGAACATGTAAAGTTTCAAAAGGATAGAACATTGAGAGGGTTCACAATGAGAAAGTGGCCATCTTTAATCCATTTTAGAATCAAGTGGGGTCATTCAAGGTAATAGTGGTTGTTTCTATTAAGCTTAAAAAATTGTTACATCACATAATTGAATGCTTGTAAAGTTGAATATATATTGTTCAATATTATAAAGTCTTGGCTGGATGAGATAATATGTATAAACTCTCCCTTTATTAATTTTTGTAAAAAAATTTATAAAAGAAAATAATCCAAAAAATCTCATATTTGTGTTTTCTACAAAAGAAAATTACATTTGAATTTTGTTTATCGTTAGCTTACGCATTGTTATATCAAGTTTAAGGTTGATATTAAATTTTTTTAAAGGGAGTGTTTTGGGAAAGTAAATTTTAAAACACCAATTCATCCCCTGTTGGTGTGCCTTGGGCAGTTCAACTTGATTTAACAACCTCATTTGAACTTTCAACCTCTATCCAAATTCCTACGAATTATGCATCATTTTCTCTTGAATTATTTGATTAGTACTACAGAGCATCGATTTCTATGTACAATAACTTAAAGAGGAATGACTTGTTCAAGTGGCGTAAGACCATAATTTATGTAATTAGGAAGAAAAATTGTTAAAGTCTTATGCTGATGCATAATACATGTTTTTCAATAAAATGGAATAAAGTATAGGAGATGATATGTGATACCTTTCTGTCCATTTAAATTATGGTGTTGTGTGGGTCCTTGTATAGCCCAATACTCTTAACTATCAAGATATTTTTAGCTTTGACCTAGTGCCTCATGATTCTGACTCGTTCGTGTCACTTGGCAGAAGGTCACTTATCCTATGAAAGCCTTGCTCAAACTTTGGAGTTTTTTATGAAGCTCCAACCAATGCACCAAAAAGTGTCTTGATGTTTAAAAGTTTAGCTTTATTTGATGAAGAGGTTTCACTATCCCCCTCACTTAGATAATTGACGTTCTCCTCAATATTTTGGCTCTAAATCATTGACAAGGAGGATATAAGCATTGAGTTCCTATCTTTCGGTAGATGTATTACTCTGATGCCAATTGCAATAACCTAAACTCTTAACTTTAAGATATTGCCCGCTTTGGCCTAGTGTCTCACAGGTATGTCTCATTAGTGTAACTTCCGAGGAGGTCATCCATTATAGGAAGACCCTTGTATGAGCACACTTGACTTTGAAGTTTATAATGAAACTCCAACCATTACACCAAAAGAAGCCTCAATACTTAAGAGTTTAATTTTATTTTCTTAAGATATTTCACACTCCTGACCCCTCTTACACTCTACAACTCTTGTAGGCAACAATAAGTTCATTTTATAAGCGCTTCTCTAAATTGCTTAAGATGTTAAAGTTATTTGATAATAGGAGGAACTTTTTTCATTTAAAGCTCCTTAAAAACATATGAGAGCAAACACAAATGAGTTTCTTAGGCTTATCATGACATTAGCCATTTAAATTATATATATATATATATATATATAGGTATAATCTAACGTGTGTTTTATGCCTTATTTGCAATGAGGCAGTAGAGTATATGCAATACAACATATCATCCACACGACTTAAAAGAAAAATCTTTTAAAAGCATGCATATCATATATAATTAATAGAAATTATCTAATCATATATTTATTTTTTTAAAAATGAATTATTTCATAAAATATTTATTTAAATTTATTTAGCTTTATATGACTATTCTAAATATCTTAGATTAGTGGTTTATATTCAGTATTATAAATGCTGGATCGAACTCTATTGTATTATATTCATTGAATTATTCTCTGCTATATGTAACTGCTGCATTGAACTTTGTTCCAATATATGTTTTGTTGCTCTATGATGTGTTATAATTACTATATTGCACTTATTTGTGTTATAATTATTAGTTTACATTATATTATATCTATCGTATAATTTGTTGTGTTATGAGTAATATGACTGCACTCATATGTATCAATATTATAGTTTGTTATGTTAAAGGTGTTGGCTTGTACTTTGTTATAGGGTATCAAAATGGGATGACTAGTAAGGTTTAGACAAAACTTGAATATAGTTAATCTGAATTGATATGTTTAATAAACGGGTCATATACTAATCTGAATTTGACCCGCTAGCAATATGAATGGCCTAAACCTGACCCATTAATCAATTTTGGTTAAATTTTTTTATAACTTTGTTGCGTCCTAGAGTATTCACGATGGTAGAGAAATATAATGTTTAACGTCTTAGCATTGTACTTAAATACGGCACGCAATCGATCAGATAAGAGAGAGGGTGCGTCATTCACTAGAGATACCAAATTTTTTACGTGGAAAACCCCAGAAAAAAGGGAAAAAAATTACGGGGCATGGCCCAGTATAAATGAATCCACTGGTATTGTAGTTGATTACAAATGAGGTCCTTCCTCGGGGGAAGGCCTTAGCTTGATGTACATATTATAGAGTACATTACATAGTGAAAATACAAAGCATAAATGTTGATGTGTTAGTTTGGTCTGAAGGACTGTAGTTGGTGTGCGACGTAAGTCGGAAGGATCGTAGTCGGCGTGCAAAGGAGGTCGGAAGGACTGTAGTCGGCGGGTGACGTAAGTCAGAAGGACTGTAGTTGGCAAGCGATTTAAGTCTGAAGGACCGTAGTCGGTGGATGACGGAGGTCGGAAGCCAGACGGACTATAGTCGGTGGGCGACGTAAGTCTGAAGGACCGTAGTCGACGGAGGTTAGAAGGACTGTAGTCGGTGGGCGACGGAGGTCGGAAGGACTATAGTCGGTGGGTGACGTAAGTATGATGGACCATTGTTAATCGGCGACGGAGGTGTAATATCAAAAATCTGCTCCAGGATCGTCCAGGACGATCTGGATCGTCCTGGGACGATCTGTGGAAATTTTGCTCCAGAATTTGCCCAGTTTTGCTCCAGGTGATTTTCTGTACATATCGTCCAGGCCGATTTGGACATCGTCCAGGCCGAT